TGCTGAACTAAAACTTTGTTTTATTCCTAGTTTCTCATAGACAAATTCTACTTCCTTATTTCTAAATGGAGTCCCTCTGTCACTAACAAAAATGGAGAATGTACCATAAGATGTTAACTATATTAAACTACAGCTGACATTTCGAGTTCGGTTGTTAGGAAATTTTTCTCGCCACCTTTGAGTTTGCGGAATGCGAAAGCTATTGGGTGCCTTTTACCATTAGGGCCTTCTTATTCTAACATCCCCGAGAATCCCTCTAAAGATGCGTCTGTCGTTACAAACACAGGATAATCATCGTTAAAATGAGCTAGTGCTGGTGTTGTATATATAGCTTGTTTTAAAATATCAAAAGCCTCCTGGTGGTTATCCTCCTAAACAAATTTGTATCTTCTATTGTTAAGTCCGTTAATGGAATGGCAATTTTTGAGAAGTGTTTAATGAATTTCCTTTAATAGCTCGTCCAACCTACAAAAGCTCTGACATCTTTTGTTTTATGTGGTACCAGAAATNACAAAAGCTCTGACATCTTTTGTTTTATGTGGTACCAGAAATTTTTTTATTACTTCAATATTTTTCTCTAACGGCGTAATACCTCTTTCAGAAATTTTGTGTCCTAGTAACTCTATTTCTGAACTAAAAAATGAACATTTATTTGTTTTAAGTTTAAAGTTTGCCTTGTCAAGCCTAACAAGAACTTGTTCTAATCTTGACAAAGCTTCTTCAAAATCCCCACCAAAACAACATATATCATCTAAATAGACAATTATTGTTCTTTAAAGGTAATCACTCAAAACTTTATTTATTATTCTTTGAAAAATTGGGCCTGAATTTTTAAAACCTTCGGGAATTCTTTTGAATTGATAAAGTCCGAAATCTGTAATAAAACCAGTTTTGTACCTGTCTTCTTCTTTTATAAGACACTGAAAATAACTTTGTTGTAAGCTAAAGTTAGAAAATATTTAGCTCTCTCAAGACTTCTAAAAAGATCTTGTGACCTCGGAATTGGGTATTTATCACTAATAGCTTATTCATTTAATTTTCTATAGTCTACTAGAAATCTATACTCTCCCGTATTACCTTTTGGTGTAAAAAATACAGCCGCTGCGTAATAACTTCTGCTCGGCTTAATAATATCAGATTTTATCATTTCGTCAATTGGAGTTTTTAATTTTTCTCCTTGAGAAGAGGACACACAATATGGCGGTTGAAAAATTGGTTTGTCCGATTTTAACCTTATTTCGCACGGTTCAACATTAGCGCAGCCTATTTTAAGTGGAACTGATGTAAATAAATGTTTAAAACGCGTAATTAATTTTTTTGCTTGTTCGCGCTGAAAACGATTTAAATGGTTAGATATTTTAATAATTGTACCCTGATCGTCTCTCACGTCGTCGTCCAAACCGATACCGTTTGTATTTAAAATGTTATAATTCTTAAATGCTGACGTAATTTTTGTTTCGTTCGCGAGTAATTCTCCCATAATAAAACCTTCATGTATAGTAATATGTCGATTTGAAAAATTGTAAACAGTGACCTCATTCACTTTTTGTAATATTTTAGTTCTTAGTGTCAAGCCTTTCTGCCTACCTAAGCGTTCCGATGGTTTTATTACAGCCAAATCTGTTTTATTTTCTCGCGTCACATTAATCTTTACTTAACTTCTAGTTTTAGGTGCTGTTGTTACATTATGAGAAGAAATTAGTTTGTTTCTACACTTTTTCTTAAGGTTAAGACTAGCTATACATTCTGAATTTTTATTTTCATTAATATTACATATTTTATTGTAATTATACTAAATTTCGTCCATTTTAACTGAATTATTTTGTTTGCTAAATTAAAATCGTTACCCAATAATAATTTACAATTACACATTCATTAATGAAATATGAATAATTATTTATTTTTAGTTCTAAGTCTATTCTTCGAAACTGTTCTAACTCCGTAATATCAACTCCTGTAAAAATAACTCTATCTTTAGGTTTAATAAGTTTTACATTATCAATTAATGTTAAATCAACACAAGAAATATTAGAACCTGTATCTAAAATAAAAGATGGTTATGCCCAAAAACTAGCCAGCTCGCACACTAATTATTAAGAATGACTAAAGGACCAGTAGTCCAACCTTGACTCTAGCTGCACGCACACACAGAATTCTAAGAACACGGTGAACATAAAATATTTGCTCTAAGTCCAGGTTTTAAAACAGTTATTTTATTTAAGAAACGTATCAAACACAAAGTCAAAAAGTTAATATCAAAATGTAACACAAAACAAAATTAAATCGTACAAAGACACTCGCGTACCCGTAACTTGACGTTTCTTCGACAAAACGTTCAGTCTCGTCCAGCCCCCGTCACCCTATAATTTTCATGTTTCCCTTTTATAATATTTGTCCCACAATTATTAATTTGCATACTCTGCATTTCCCATTTATATGGAATTATTATATTGCTTAAGAGTTCCAAAATTGCTTACTACTATTGAAAAGCTTATATTATACTAAAATCGACATAATTCAATACTTCCTCAGATAATAACTACACTGCCCTATGTTACAAAAAGAAAATATAACTTTCTGGTAAATTATTTAAAATTAAACCTTCTAATAAAAGTGTAATTAAAAATCATGTAGCTGTATTTCTTAATAGTATTTATTTTTTGTTAAGCTTGAAACTGCTAGTAAAATGTCTCAATTAAAGATATTAGATGATATAATACACTAATATGTACACAACAATAAATATATGAATTAAATTTTTTTTAATAATAAAAATTCTATTTATACTTATTATATTTTCAGGATGACATGAAATTATGTTTAACCCTTACTAAAAAGGAGCTAGAAAAAAAAAACGCTGTAATAAAAGAAATGGAAATAGATACTAAATTTAAAGAAAATCAAATTAAAACTTTGAGAGATGACCAAAAAATTTTAGAAAATAGAATAGATAAATTAGTTAAAAATGAAATATTTAATCAAAATTACATTGAAACACTTACCAATACAATACAGGAAAACCAATCTAGCCAACAAAAGAAGCAACTAGAAGTTAGTATTTTTTTAAAATAAATAATGTGTTTTACAATAATTGAATATTAATATTTTTTTAATTATTCTTAAATTCACTGTATTACAATTTATATATTATGTATATTTATAGTATAATTTATATATATATATATTTTTACTAATATGTTCAACATATTATATATTAACAATAGAAGATAAAAATAATGAGGTATACAGAAAATTGTTATTTGTATCTTCATGCACTAATTATTTAACATTAACTTTAGATCACTAAATTAAATGATTTGAACAACTATCTTAAAAATGTTCTTTCAACAAATGCATCCGAATTGGATGAAAAAGAAAGCATTTATCAAAATATAATAAAAAGCTTAGATTCAAAAAATGTAAAACTTGATGAAGAAAATATTAAATTACAGGTAAATTATTTAAAATTAAACCTTATATATAAGTATAATTAAAAATCATGTAACTGTATTTCTTAATAGTATTTATTTATTTTTTAAGCTTGAAACTGCAAGTAAAATGTCTGAAATAAAGTTATTAAAAGATAAAATACATGACTTTCAGTCTAAAGAACAGGTATAATGTTCATCAGTAAAACCTATCTTTACTACTTATAGGGATGGCAAAAATCGACACAATATCGATATTAAACAGTATTAATATTTCGTTTATAGCTTTTCAAATATGATTTATAGAGCTCGGTTTGATATTAAGATATCAGTATTGCTAACAAAAATATCAATATTTAAGTAGAAACTATTTTAATTCTATATCATTTACACCATTATAACATGTTGGTTAGAAAAATTTTAAATCATTTTTTTTAATGAACATTAATAATGGTAATTTTAATAATAATAAAAAATTGTTTACCTATTTAAAACGCACTTACAATATGCAATTTTTATAGGATTTTTAAGTCTGGGTGTTAGGTCCGACTATAGTTATCCACATGTGCGTGGACGGTCGTTGACTACCACTTTTAATTAAGTCAGTCAGCGACGTGCCTTCTTAGTATAGAGTTTTAATATAAAGAATAAAAATTGATATATTAACGTTCATAGTGTTACTTAAAATTTAAAAATAATGAAACCCCAAAAATCTGTTCAACCAGAAAAAGGACATACGGTCCACAACATGGTCCTTCGAACACGGATTTTTGGTTAATAATTAACGAAAAATTTTAATTATAAGTGCGAAAATAATAAATACGTAAAATAGTGCAACGTGTCATTTGGATTACCAAAAGTGTACCCTTTCAAAAAAATGGATAAAATTCAAAAAGCCAGTCGAAAGGTAGAAAAATTAAAATATATTCCTTTTATTAATAAATTTATTCCAAAATTTCCTAAAAGAAATAAAAGAATTTATTGTAAGTTTTCAAATAGTATTGTAAGGTCGTTTTTTTATGTTGATTTTTACCCATTTAATAGTTATGTTTATCAAGTGAGAATAGTAATAAATCGGCGCGTATACTCTACGCGGAAAGTATATATATTTATGGGTTCGTTTAAAAGGTTATTATAACACCTCGTATGTGGAGATAGGATACTATAGTTAATAATAATAACAGAGTAGAAGTTACATTGCTGAATATCAGCTGTTAACAGTATTAAATTTCACAGCGCGTTCTCACTTACCTTCGATATAGGGGAAACGAGCATTAATGTTGCGCAGCACAGAGGACAATTAAAAACATCTTTAGTAAAATTCGAAAAATATTTGAGTAGCGGAAAAGTCTCAATAGAGCAAATACCATTTCGGATAGAAAAAATAGAGGCTGTTTGGTCAGAGTTCGAAGTTATTCAAGGAGCTATAGAGCTCGAAGAAGAGGTAAATATGAAGGTACAAGATATATATAGAAAGGAATGTGAAGAATAATTTTTTGAAACATTAGCCAAATTAAATAAATTAATCGGTAGAGTAAGTTCGTCAAAGGTTAAAGATATTAAAGAAAATCAATATGGTTGTCAGCAAAGTTCTTGTGGTCAAACAAATAAATGTATTTCTCACGTTAAATTAGCTCCTATAAGTATTCCAGTATTTACTGTCGAATACAGTGAATGGAAACCTTTTTATGATTTATCTTCTAAATTTAAACATGTTAATGCGGATCTATCGGATATTCAGAAATTTTGCTATTTGCGCTCATCTTTATCAGGAGAGGCAGCAAATATTATTAAAAGTTTAGAAACAACAGCGAATAATTATGAAATCGCGTGGATAATGTTAAAAGAGAGATATGACAATAATAAGTTAATAATTCAAACCCACGTGAAAGCTATTTTTAAGCTAGGAATGGTGCATCAAGAGTCTGCGGTTAAAATAAGAGATTTTTTGGATTCTTTAGTCTGTCGTATTAGTGCATTAAAAATGTTAGAAGAAAAACCTGAAGAATGGGGGCCGATGTTAATGCATTTAATTTGTACTATGCTTGATAGAAATACGCTAAGTCGATGGGAAGCAGATTCACTCCAAGATAGAATAGCACGCGTATCCGAATTTATTGCATTTTTGGAAAATAGCGTAAAAGTATTAGAAGCGGTAGAAGCGTTATTGTTTAAAGTGTTCAAAACCACACAATGTATTGTTGCATTTAAATACAACTCTAAATCAAGAAATAAAAATAGATAATAATACTCCAAACGATAATTCAGTAGTCTCAGATAACGTATCAACGAGCGCTATTGCAGCTGCTCAATCACACAAACAAGTGTTTTTGTCAACAGTAGAAGTTTATACAGGTAATGTTAAAGGTGGAAAAGAAAGATGTAGAATTTTGCTGGATTCTGGTTCACAGTGTAACTTTATAAGTGAATATATGGTACAATTATTAAGGTTGCGTAAATCGCGAGTACACCACAGTGTCATTGGCATAGGAGGTACTAAAAAAAATATTACTTTAGCGGTTACAGTAGTAATTACATCGCGCATTAGTTTATTCAAAATAGAAGTACAATGTTTGGTTGTTCCTAAGATAACAGGATTTATTCCGTCGAATAATAAAAAAAGTAAATGTTTTATTCCGGAAGGTATTTAATTAGCGGATCCGTCTTTCACAGTACCGCAAAAAATTGACTTATTACTCGGAGCAGGTCACTTTTTTGATGTTTTATACGCGGGTAAAATTAAGCCGTCCGAGGACGGACCAATATTTCAACAATTGCAGTTTGGTTGGGTAATTGCAGGAGTAGTTAATCCAGGCTGTAGTCAAGCGTATCATTCTATTAGTTATTTTGCAGTGATTGATCACGAAAATCAATTAGAAAATATGTTATCTAAATTTTGGTGTTTGGAAGAAGTAGGAACAGCCGCGCCTCAAAGGTTAGGAGATAAAAAATGTAAAGAGTTTTTCGAAAATACGGTTAAGCGAGACGATGTCGGTAGATTTATGGTTTATATACCTTTTAAAGTAGGGGAAAATTATAAATTAGGCGAATCATACGAGATAGCAAAAAAGAGATTTTTAAATATGGAAAGAAAGTTGCAAAAAGACGAAAAGTTAAAAGAGGAATATAGTAAATTTATGAAAGAATACGAAATATTGGGTCATATGCAGAAAATTAGTGAAAAGAAACCCATAGTTGGGGAATATGTATGTTACTTACCGCACCACCCTGTATATAATTATAATAGTACAACAACACGACTTCGTGTGGTATTCGATGCGTCGTGTAAAATGTCATCTGGTAAGTCACTGAATGACGTACTATTAAAAGGTCCCGTCTTACAAGACGATATGATTTTTATTTTAATATACGGTTTAGAAAACATAGAGTTGCTTTAACTGCAGATATAAAAAAAATGTATCGACAAATTAATTTAGTTCCTGAACATTGTGATTACCAAAGAATATTATGGAGAGAAAATCCAACAATGCCCATAGGAACTTATAAATTAACAACAGTCACATATGGTATGAGTCCTTCGTCGTTTTTAGCAACTGCTTGTTTACGTACTTTAGCTAGTCAGGAAGAAAATTATTATCCATCAGCTTGTTCTGAAATAAAAAATAATTTTTACATGGACGACTATTTAGGAGGCACAGACACTATCGAATCAGCTGTTCAGTTACGCGACGATCTTATCTGTATATTTCAACGAGCCAGTATGTCGCTGTATAAGTGGTTATCTAATAAAAACACAGTTGTAAACGACACGGTTGAAAATAAAAATAACGAACGTGCATTTGAATCAACGACAACAAAAATACTTTGTCTAACGTGGGACCCCGTTAATGATATGATTATATTTAAAATAAATTTAAACGTTTACCCAGAAAGTGATTTAACTAAAAGAAAAATATTATCTGAGGTAGCCAGTATTTATGATCCGCTTGGTCTTTTAGGACCTGTAATAATAAGATCCAAACTCTTCATTCAAAGTTTATGGAACATAAAATTAGCGTGGGATGAAGTATTAACTGATAATATAAGTGAAAACTGGTTAAATTATCGCAAGAGCTTGTTAACTTTGAATAATTTAAAAGTGTCGCGAAAAATAACGTGTGAAAAAGATATCTCGTCAATAGAAATACACGGTTTTTCGGAAGCATCAGAAAAGGCAAATGGTGGATGTATATACTTACGATGCACCGATATAGATGGTAAACATAGTTTAAGGCTTATTTGTGGGAAATCAAAGGTAGCTCCATTAAAAGTAATTTCTATACTCAGATTAGAACTATGCGCAGCGTTATTACTCGCACGGTTATCTTATCATGTTATGGAAAAGTGAAAATTAAATATTATAAAAAAGTACTTTTGGACGAACTCAAATATAGTTTTGGCGTGGATATCTTCTCCATCCACAAATTGGAAGACATTCGTTGCTCACTGAGTTGGTGAAATTCAGAATTTATCTTGTCCATCAGAATGTTAAAAAAGAACATTTTAAATTTAATGAGAATGTAGTACACAAATGTAATAAATAGACATTACCATTATCAGTTACAATAGCAATAATTTGGTGTTGACTAATTTCCCATTGAGTCATAATAATTTCAAATGCCTCACTAATATTTTCAGATGTATGAGACTTACTTAACTTATGTACACCTAATGTTTAAAAATGTATACATTTTAATTAATAAATACGTAAAAATAAATAATTAGATCATAATAAGTAATTTGAAATAAAACCACATATAAATTTAGTGCCTTCTAAAAAGTGTATAGGAATACCAATATAACTTTTCATTTGGAAATCTGTTCAAATATCTGATGTTAGTGTAAAACTATTGTTTTTCTTCAAGTTATTTTAAAACACTTTAAATAGTCATATTTTAAATCCTATTTATTTTTTATAGTATTCCTACATGGAAATTTGTAAAGGGGAGAAGACACTTGTAAAAAAAAGTCTAAATCTACTTACTTCAACAGTGGGCAATGGTACATTATCCTTGCAAATATAATAAACNGGCAATGGTACATTATCCTTGCAAATATAATAAATTAATGCATCGGTTATTTCTGAAATTTTCATTTCTCNACATTATCCTTGCAAATATAATAAACTAATGCATCAGTTATTTCTGAATTTTTCATTTCTCCTGCTATGGAAATTTACAAATTTAATAAAAGAACCAATTCTAATAATAAAGGGCATGTGTTACTTTTTTCCTAAACTAGTATTTAGTTGGTAAATTATAATAATTTATACATACATACATTCTTAAAGAAAATGTTTTCTTTTCAATTTAAAGCTAAACTTAACATAAAGTAATTCTACTACTATTTGAATTTTATTTTACTGCATTAAAAAACATTTATAATATGTTAGAATATACTAAAATGTTATTAAATTATTCATTTTTTCTAAAATTTTTAAAATAAAAATTGATCTTTTTTAATTTATTACAAATTTTATCCAACCTTATTAGTGAAATGAGTCTTGAAATAAAATCTTTATAAGAGAAAAATAATTGTAAAAATGTTCAGAATATATTTAAAAACGAGACTATTAACAAATTTTATTCATTAGTCAAATTGATTACCTTTCATTTATGATACATAATTAAAACAGTGATCAATTAAAGGTTGGCACATTTTTCTTTGGGAGACATCTAATAAAACAGTATCACTAGTTGATGAAGTAGGATTGTCAAATTGCTAAAAAATTAAGATAGAATTACGCTTCATATATTTCGAAATTAAGTCATATTAATAGCATATTTGTACTCACAATTAACACATTGTTTATCTGGTCAGAATCATGACTATCAATGTTTTAGGATTCCTTTATTTTTGAATTTAGTTGGTATATTAGAAAAATATGACACAATGCACCCACGCTTTTATCACAATAATACTAGTATTTTTTTTTCATAATTATTTTAAACTTATTTTAAAAATTATTTTTAACATTTTAGTTCGATATGCTTTAAAATNATACATACATACATACATACATACATACATACATACATACATACATACATACATACATACATACATACATACATACATACATACATACATACATACATACATACATACATACATACATACATACATACATACATACATACATACATACATACATACATACATACATACATACATACATACATACATACATACATACATACATACATACATACATACATACATACATACATACATACATACATACATACATACATACATACATACATACATACATACATACATACATACATACATACATACATACATACATACATACATACATACATACATACATACATACATACATACAGGTGAAACTAATATAAGCGTGTTAAAAAAATTATTATTCATACCTAGATAATTTTAATTAATTGTTAATTTGTAATTTTCGATATATCGTGCCATCCCTAACTATATACTCACTTTATATGTTAAAATAATTAGAATTTAATGAATATTTGCCTTCAAATTGTTATCGACCATTCAACAAATTTTTTAAGAAAATTATTTTATTATTTTAGAAATTGAATCAACAACTAAGAGATGTTATGAATAAATATAAAATTTTAGAACAAAAGTTAAGTGCAACTATTGACATTAATGTAAAATTAGAAGAAGACAGCAGAAAAAAAAAAGATGAATTAATATCTTGTGAAAATAAGAATAGTGTTTTAATGGTATTTTTAATTTAAATATTCATATAATATTAAAATAATCTCAGAACAATTTAATATGACTGTCTAAAGCTGCTCGTCTTTTATTCTGTATATTACGGATTTAAGATTAGTAAATAAAGTCTAGAATTCATATAATTTATTTTTGAAATAATAGTTGAGTTAAACATCTTAATAAAGGTATGTTTCTAAATATTTTCTTTTTTTTCGTCTTAAATAAGTTTTATTTAAAAGGCTTTTAAGTTGACCATGGCTGAACAATTAATTTTGAATTTATGATCCCAAAATATGAAGTCATAAAAATTTCATTCAAACTTTATTCTTATTTTTAATAATATTTTTTAACTCTTTTTTTTTATATTTAATTGATTTACACAATGGACAAAAAAATAAAATGTTTATAGTACTAAAAAATGTAAGTTTCAATTTAATTTATAAACTATAGAAACAATTAAAAAGTGCAGAAGACGTTCTATTAGATCAAAAGACTCAGGCTGAAAAAGATAATCAAGTTTTTAAATTGAAGGTATTTTTTATATCTATGCTTCATATTTTAATAATTGATTATATATAAAGTTAATAGTAAAATATTTTAATTGATTATTATCTATTGTATACAAAATCAAATATTTTTATTAATACTAAATAACGTTTTTTAAAATACGAATTTCTTTTTAACCTCTTATATGAGGTACATAGATACATAAGTATATAAGTGACAGTTTTTATTTTCTATAACACCATGTAAATAAAAAATGTTTATCATGATTTTTATGCAATTGTTTTATTAATTGATACTACTTCTTTCAGTTTGATTATACTTCTAATTTAAATAGTTTTTTAATGTCACTTATACTCCTTGTATTTTTATCATCTCATATATTCTTTACAGGTATATATTAAATGAATGTAATATTATTTATTTGATTAAAATATCAATTTATTTTATTTTTAGGTTTTAGAACTTCAAAAACAACTTAAACAATGTAACCAAAAATACCATAAAATTTCAAAAGACTATGAAATTTTAAAATTAAGTGGAATCCAGGATACTGATGTAAAATAATATTTTTATCAATATAATGTTGTTGGAAAATTTATAAATTTTTTTATTTTAGATTAAACTACAAATACAATTAGAAAAAACAGAAAAAGAAGTATTCGAGTGGCAAAAAAAATATAATGATTCCTTGTTTGAAAATCGTAACATTAAAAATAAGGTATCAAAATAATATATAAATGAATTATGATAATATGGTGTATAAATTTTTTTTTAAATGAATGTGTTTTCAATTAAGTATAGATATTATATTTTCATCCAGTTTATGTAATCACATTAACTTATTATAGAATATTTTGATTTTCAAATGGAGGATTCATAAATATGATTATTATTAATTTGAGATTATTCTTACAATATAATTTCAGAAAAAATTTTTAAGTGCATTGGTTATTTTAAGCACTTTAAATGTTTTGAGTGTTATAAGTAAAGTTCAGACAGAATATATGTATATTCTTAAATAATAATGCATGTACTAAAAATAGTGATAAAAATTAAAACTAAAAATAACCTATAAATTTAAATATTAGCACTAAAATGACAAATTAACTTTTTATAAATTAATTGTTCCTGAATACACTATATATAACACCAAAAACTGCTCTTACGAACGTCTATTACATTGTTAAGAATTTATAGCACTTATCTATTTATAGCATTCACTCTTGATTAATAAATTTTTATTTAAAAATTACAATTTTTGGAGGCAATGTGATGTACAAGTTTAACAAAAATTATCATTAGAAAATTTATCACTCAACTTCTTCTGTGTAGGTAATAAAATTGTTAATACATTTTTGAAGTACTAATGCAAAAGACGTTATTGATCAGTCATTTTATTTTCAATAAATTAATTAAATATTTAGTTGTTCTTAAAAAAAAAATTAATAAATCAAGATAAATTTGAAACTTAAAAATACTGAAAATAATTTTCTTCACAAAATTATTCTTTTAAGAGAAATATAATGGCTAGCATTGAACAAATTACTCTAATAATATTTTTCATGCATCCATTAAATACTTATTCTTAAGTAGCTTTGTCGGTTATTAATAAATTTACTAAACATACGAAACATTTATAGCTAGAAAGTTTGGAAGTTGAATTTAAACGCTCACAAGATGAAATGTTTTTATTGTATAAGAAGCTTTTCCGCAGTGAACTTGAGAAATATAAATTAAAAAGTGACATTATGAACTTTACACTTACAGAAGAATGAAAACAAAGTTAATCTAGTTTAATTGTTATAAAATTTTACTATAGATTTTCATTTATAGCTTCATTAAAATATTTTAAAAAAATTCTAGATAAATTTAAAGATTTAACATTAGACTAATGTTTATTATTATTTTATTTTTAGAAAGCATTACAAAATGAAGTGATAGATTTTCAAAACTATGCTAAATTTTTAAATAATAAATTCAGCAAAAAAGAAAAAACAATGATTTTCTGTAAACTTAATTCTTAATTTACCAAAAAAAATACTATGGATCATCTATTAAGACTTGATAAGTACCATTTACTTAAATTTATTTTATTAACTATTTGTATTTATTTTTTACTTTAATTTAAAATGAATATTATTTTGTGGAAGTTTATAATTTATAAATATATAATAAAAATTGATCACTTGTGGCTAATTAATTAAATAAAATTAAAACTATATTTAAAATATTATTAATTTAAAAACTAATAAATATGAGACTTAAAAGCCACAAAAAGTTACTAAAAAGTAACGTATTTCAGAAACAATGTTATTATCAACACTAAACATATACCGTATGTGTTGTTTGTAATATTTTTAATATAGTTTTAATGTTATTTAATATAATTTATAAAATTAAATACAAAAATATAAAACACAAATTTTTAGTTTTAAACCTCTAATGCTTTAAGAAGAGGTATTATTGGTTTCCCATCTTTTTTGCATTTTTGTATAGTTTTGAATGCATAATCCACAAATTCTTCATTTTCTGTATTACATAATTTTTTATATGTAGATGAACCTTCAATGTCAGCTTCTTTATTTTTTAAATGTAATGCTACTTTATCAGCCTAAAATTGGTAATGGCATTTAATTAAAATATAACTTTTGTACAATTTCGTCAATCAACTCACACACTCTTCATCCAATTCTCTTTTTAACTTTATTATTCTATCAGCTAGTATATTCCTACAATATTTTTTTATATTCATATAATATTTGTATCTATACATTTCTTCTTGGTAGTCCGTTATTAACCTTATTTCATTTTCATTAATTTTCTTAAAATTGTTCATATTTTCTTTTCTTTTATTAAACTTCTCTTTTTTATAGCGTTGTTCTTCATGGAACCTAGAAATACAGTAAATTTAGGATTATAATACACACATTTTAAAAGATCCATTAGTTAAGATATTATTTGAACTATTGATTTTTGTTTATTATTACATAAATCAATATGGTTTAAATGAATCTAGAAAAAAATTGTGTTATTGCTATTGACAATAATACTTCACATCAGTGGCGACTGTAGAAAATATTCAATAAATCTGATTAATTCCTTAGTTACATTTTTAAAATCTAGACACGCTTCGATTTTAAAATTACCCCCTGTCGGTTACAAGGATTAGTAGGGACAATCGTGTTACTCTTATATACTAATTACTTATATATAATCTTATATTCTAAAAATTGCTTAAAATTACTAATATTAAAAACCATTAATTATTCATTAAAATGGATTCATTGGACGGGTCATCTTAATCAATAATTCTATCGAACAATTCTTCGCTGTCATAGGACCTCTCTATTTTAAATTACGATGTACATTTCGATCATTCCCCTTGAAAAATATAATTACTTAAATATCAATATATTTTGAATACAAATTTGATTATTGCATACTTACTCGTGTATAACTATTTATTTCAATATTTCCAAACCTTATTTCCCTTATATATTTTTGTGTCAGATAATAAAGTAGTCGAGTAACTAGGTCAATTATTAACCTCTATAGTGTATAGTTGCATTCACCTGGTTACAATTTTGCCATCTTGCCATTTTTCACACCCATTCATAGCCAGACACCACCAACGCCACAGTCACGGTCAATGTCACTTTCAAACCACGACCATTACTACGACTTTTGTCATTTTATTTTGAGCCACAGTCCCTATCTTATAGAACATTCAAATCACAAGCCTTAACATCTTTGTGTAATTAAGTATGTAGTGACTTGATCACAGAGTCATCAAATTACCACAAATCGTACATATTTATGTTCTATCCTCCCTCTGTTGACGACCATTGGATGAGTAATTTCTAGCTAGAAAATTAATTCCTTATTACTATTACTATTGAAATATATAGTATTGTTATATTATTATTATGGTGCCCCAGACACATTTCAAAATTGTCTGTTTATTTATTATATTCGGCTAGTCCGATTTATTTTATTGTGGCATATTTGAATTATTATTTTCTGTAGATCCGATATGTTTTATTATTATTCTCGACAAGTCCGTTAAATAATTTACTTTGTGGCATATATATATATATTATTATTTTCGACCAGTTTACTACATTACATTATAGCATTTTTGAATTATTTTATTTGAAAACTATGACTTTCTTTTAATGTTAATTTTAATTAAATATTTTATTTGATACTTATGGCTTATTAAACTTTGAGGTAATGCACGATACACGAGGTTAAAAAAATTTTACTTTCTACATAATTTATTTGAAAAATAACTAGTATCGGATTTTATAAAATTGAGTTTGAAACAATATTTGTGGTAAATAAAAGCCATGATTATTATTAATTATATTAAAAAAGTATTTAGATGTGGTACTTACCAAATGAAATTTTCAACATAACACAGCACGCATATTCAGTCCCAATGTGTCAAACACAAAATGAATAGCACTTTACTCTCAACAGTCGCCACAGCCTTAGCTATACCTACTTATTAGGAGAACGTGACAAATTTAAATAAGGGACACTATTCATATATTTTTAATAGTAAATTCCTTTGTATGATATTTTGTGACTTTATTAAATACTCATTACTCATAAAATTGCAAATTTTACTAATAGATCCAGCCAGTTAATACTGTTAGACATTTTTTTTAAACATTACATTTGACACGCACATTTCATCACCAATTTATTCATTAATGGTAAAGTTGATTTGTTGCAGCACTATATCAAGGTCACTTTTAAAGTAACGGCTGTTTAAATTAAACAGCCGTAACACTTAGACTAAGATAAATCTTAAATAATTTAAAATGTCCCGCAATAGGCGCAAGTCAGCCAACTTCAACATGTCCTAAATGTATGTTTTTCATTATAAATTACTGGACACTGACTTTTACGAGATGGTCACTGTGTGTTTTTTTTTTTGCGTGTATTCAATTTATATACATTAATTCTTCTAGCATGCATGTTTAACTTAAATTAAGGCACCTATTGTAAATGTATGCAAGTTTTTGACAACGTTTTGGCTACATACATTAGGATAACTTAACTATTTTTAATTGTCAAATATTATATTATCTCTTTTAAAAATCTAACATTTTTTTTGTGCATGCATTGCTCACGATTATATTCGGACTCCTCGCAATCCTTTTATATGTCACATAATAAACATTAGCATTCTGAACAGACCTTGATAACATGGATGGTATTACTTTGGGGCCCCGAGACTATTCAAGAAGTCGACGACAGGGCCGGGCTTCTCATAGGAACCGCTTGGTAGCCGACGATTGAGAGCCCACGTGATGGAAGCTCCTCCAAAGCTCAAAAGCTTACGAACTTAGGAGTATGGACATCGAATATCTAGAGGTTCTTACTAAGATGCTTATCCATAATAACTTTATTTTAGATTTAACTTTTTTAACTTTTTTTAATTATTCCAAAATTGTTTTATTTTGTTAAGGCCTGAGAATGTAGGGGGAGCAGATGATACGATCACATTATGTAATCATATCTCATATCATTAATGTAACGCCAACTAGGCTTATATCGTTGACACAGTGACACATATTACTAAAGGAGGGCTGATCGCACACATAAACACTTTTTTAATTCACGGCCATAATAATATAATATAATAAACGACAGTTGACTTTTTACCATCATCGCGACCATTACTCTAGTCCTATATTTAACTTAACTTATCTACCACGTTAATAGTGTATGTGTGGGTGTCGCCTTCAGCTCCCTGTTGTATTATATCATCTCTAGGTGTCCAGCAGGTTGTAATATTTATTTAATATATCTTTAATTAATAAATATTTATATCGTTGTTAACCAAGAGTGTTATATATATATTGTAGTGCGACCCTTAGTAGTTCCTCTAAAGGAATATAAATAAAATAGGAAACCTCAGTACCTTAAGTAGATATAGTCTAGCTGTTGGTCCCTTAGAATACTGTTTTTATTTTTATTTATTTAATATTTTTACGGGACAAGCCCTTTTACAAAAGAGATATAATAATAATCTAAACATACGAAAATAGGTAATAATAATAATAATAATAACAATAATAATATAATAATAGCTTTAAATTGAAACAAAAGACAAAGCTTATATTCTGATATGATCACAAGACATAAAAAAAAAAAAATCAACATCATTACAAATACACGGTTGCATAGCGTAAGCGCTCTGGGAAAAAAATAATCGGTCCAAATTTTTTTTTTTTTAAGAAGGCACAAAAAATAAATTTGAGTTTCTAATTGAAAAATTATGAGTTAAAATACCGATCTTACTTAATAATTCGGGACAGTCAATATTGTTATTTAGAAGATCATAAATGAATAATATGTCGGACATTTTACGTCTAACCTCACATGGCTGAATATAAATAGAATCTGCTACTAATTGATGAGATGAAATGAGACATTGACTCTCTAGAGATCGGTCAATTTAAGCGGAAAGCAATTGATTTTAAAAATTTATACTGAACATTTTCAACAAGTTGATCGGTCGAACTCTGACCTCATATTAATGATCCAAATTCTAAATTAGATCTAACCAGGGAGCAATAAAGCGTTTTTAGAGCTTGAATATTTTTAAATTCTCTAGTGTTTCCTAAAATAAAACCTAGCATTTTAAATGCTTTATTAATAACTATATTAGTGTTAGAAGAAAACGACATATTACATGAAAAAAGAACACCCAAATCTCTTATTGACTCCACTCGGTTAATAATAATATTATTAATTTTATAATTGAAAACTAAAGGATTTTTTTTTTTTTTGGTAAAAGAGATATAATTTCATTTATTAATATTTATAGGCCAATATTTTAGACGAATCGACGCTAACATAGCTTGAGGGCCGCTGTGTAAAAGACTGACGTGTTCGTGTTGAAATAACAACTTAGTAAATGTGCTTTTGTGTGGTAAAATAATCGGATGTCGCTGATAAATATCAATGAAAACAGCATTTTTTAAACGGCCTCCTACGCGTAAAACACCATTTTCGTTCATGTAAGGCCTAAGATGAATTAATGGACTCTTAGAAGAAACAAAAGGCGTAGGGTAACTCAAATTTTTTATTTCAGAAGAAAAGTAATCATTTTGTACATGCTTTATCAGTCTTATGTTCGCCTGACTTAATTCACTGACCTCTAAAGACGCTATTTTTCCATTCGATTTACGTACGGCATTATAAATAAAACGATAGCAATACGCGATAACACGCAATATTTTCTGATAATTTGGGCATCTATATAATAAGAGAAAATTGTCTTGTGTTGTATTCGCGACTNGGGCATCTATATAATAAGAGAAAATTGTCTTGTGTTGTTTTCGCGACTAAGTTAATAGAATTATAATTTTCAGTACACTTGACTTCAGGTAAAATTTAATTATTTATTGCCTCGGCCGTGGTTTGCTATTCTTCACAATCCTTTTGTAAGCACTGTGGCCCTGACCGCCATAAAGACGACTTAGACAATTCCTCGGGATAAGAACCACGAGATATTACATCGTATATTACTACGTAATTATACGTGCTATTCCGCTCCGGCGTTCATCTTGGCCCATTGCGTCAGGCTGTCATATATATTTATATAAAAATTACCGTTTTGGTGTGCGAATCGGTTTTACTCGGTTTAAAGAGCTGACACGACCCGGCAACTTAGCTATGACTTATGACTTAGCTATGTGAGTTATGACGTATGTCTCTGTTGTTTTTCTTTACTTTTGACAGCACAATCCAGTTTAACTGGTGAATATTTTGTCTTTGGTGTTAGTTCTATCGAATAAGTGGCTCAAGGCAAGTTAACGAACTGAATATGTGCTAATATTAATTAGAAGTAAAAAAAAATATTAAGTCACAAAAACTAATGAATTACGCTTAGGGTTCAATTGTCATTCCTCTTGAGACACTTATTAAAGTTCGTCGATCGTTACCAAATTTTGTATAATTTACATTTATTTATGTATTCGAATAAATACGAGGGGTAACATTTTGCAATATTCAATGTTCATAATTTATATACACCCTACGACTATACATTTATGTATGTATATATGTACTATATATATATATATATATATATATATATATGTATGTATTAAAATGCTTGTATTCAATGAGTACTTGTCTTAAAATAGTTATCCAACTATAATCATTTTCCATAGTAAATAAGTTAAATATGGCTGTTTTGAAATGTTAAAAAAAATTAGAAATAAAAAGGTTTTTTTTATTATTAGTGATGAATAATAAAAAATATGTTTTAAACGTAGCCTGTAAAGCAATAATTATTTAAAAAAGAATTCCACGTCATAATAAATGTATCAAAAGTATAACTGTTGTTATTTATGTATAAGACATTCTGTAAATACGTATAATTTTTTTTTTTTTTAATTTCTTATAATAGTTATAAAAACAATGCGAAAAATTGTAAGTGTTAATAAAGAACAACATACAGACATCGATTATAAATCTATAGGTTTTCATTTAGTATTTCATGATTTTACAGTTGATTATTTCTTTAGATTTGAAAAGTCGTGTATATTTTATCTATTGTAGTATCTTTAAAAAATAAATAAAACAAAGNGCAAAAAATTGTAAGTGTTAATAAAGAACGACATACAGACATCGATTATAAATCTATAGGTTTTCATTTAGCATTTCATGATTTTACAGATGATTATTTCCTTAGATTTAAAAAGTCGTGTATATTTTATCTATTGTAGTATCTTTAATAAATAAATAAAACAAAATTTATGATACATTTATTTTAATACGAAAATCCAGTCGTTCTGACAATTTGCTATGATAAAAGTATGTGTCTGAACATTATGGGTCACTTGGGATATTTACTACACAGGGTCAATGACTTAACATGTTGTGGCTCGGGAGGGGGGGCTTATCTCCTGTTGATGCCATGGTTTCTTAAAAAATGTTATAAATGGCTACTTATTATTTCACTATGGTTATTTTAAATTTGGTTTGATTTATATTTAAGAGAACTTTAGTAATTGAGAAAAAAAAATAGAGTTAGCTGAACATTATTGACAAATGATGCGTTCCACAATAAATTTAATTTAAAATGAATTTAAAAAAAAATATGGGTATTACATATAATGTTATTTGTTAGAAGCATAATTTAGAATCACGATTTTATTGCTATGATGGAGGCAAATATATAAAATAGATAATTTNCTATGATCGAGGCAAATATATAAAATAGATAATTTAAAATTCTGAAAAAGAACTAAATATACACAGCTTACACACGCATGTTAATAAATAAATATCTTTATCAAATGTTACTTTTGAAAAAATTTTAAAGAAATATGTAATACATATTTAAAAACCATAAATTAAGTCAACGTTTTAAAAAAAAAAAATGGAAAAATATTCAATACAAAATTTACGATTTGAATTTGATATTATATGAATCAATTTCTGACTAGGTAGTCTATTTTTATGTATACGTAAAACAAATGACAAATGGTGTCCTTTTTTAGTTTCAATGCGAAGCTGTGAAGGTATTAATTTGACTATAATATGTTTTTTTATTTTAAATTTCTGTCGTCGCTTTTTCTCAGCTCTCACCATACCATTTTCAACCTCAAATACGTCAATAAATTACAAATCGTATTTAGGGAAGACATTTGAAAGAAAAATTGAAAAAATAATTCTTGTCTTCTGTAAAAAGGGGGAATACTTCAAAAAAATTTGAATTTTTACAATCAATAAATTTCGACATTTTTTAAACATTTATAAAACTGTCAAAACCATTTGATAAATCAATGAAGCAAACATTTTTTTTTCATATATACATAAGGTATTTTTCTTTTATTTGGTATAAAGTTTTCCAAAACCTGAACCTTAATTCAGCCACAGGCATTCGAAATGAAAAAATTAGAATAAAACTTAACTTTTAAGAATATTGCGGAAATAAACCGACCCTCAAACAAGTGTTCCCTTAACCAATGGCTAAGGGGACCATAGAGATGAAACCTAATTATGACTGAGACGGCCACAAATAAATGGATTAGAGTCCTATGATAATGATGATGAGAATATTTTACAAATCATTTGTGATAAGCTCAATTTATTTTTATTTAAATTGATAAATCTAGCCTTAATAATTAAGTAATTAAAAGTAAAAAATCATAGTAACCAATGAAAATTCAAGTAGCAAAGTATTTTTAGTTTATTTTGAAGTAAGAAAGTGAGAACAAAAAACACAAAAAATAGTTAACTAATTATTTTAATGTAATATAATTTGTTTTTAATATATAATATATATTTAATATCTTTTAAATAAACACCTGTATATACTACGGCTAAATTTTTTAATTATTTATATACAAACAATATCATTATCAAATAGAAAGCGTTACATTACAACATTAATTAAAATTAACTTTTTTTAAATTAAATTTTCATAAGAGTTTTATTTCATTTTAACAAGTTGTAAGTTAATTATTTTAAAACAAACTAGTATTCAACAAAGTATTTCATGCAAAAGATAAGTAATACATTTTTGCAGTAAAATGATGGTATTTATTCTTTAAAATGACCACCAAAACCGAAATTTGTACAAAATATTTGTATACCATTTGGAATTTTCGATTTTATATCTTGGCAGCGGAAGTTGAAAGACTTATATAATCTTTCATATAATTTTTCATTATTAACAATCTTAAAATTGTTTTGAAAATGTTTAAAATTTTCGTCAAAAATTTTTAAGTCAAAAAGTTCCTTTCTTACAATTTCAGCAGTATTAATGTTATCAATAGCTTTATTATTTTTAATTTTCGAATGCCACTCTTTTAATTTATTTAGAGCGGTAAAAACAGGAGTCGAGTGATTGAAAAATTGGAGTGCGTTACACATACAATTTATTAATGGATAGAAAGTATTAATAGATCTATTAAATAAATTTAATTTTTCAATTATTGTGAAGTCAATATCAATATCTTTATATTTATGTATACTATCATTATATTTTAGTTCATTAAACTTCATATCACTAAATATTTTAATGGAACATTGAAGATTATGAAATTTTTCAACTATGTTGTAGTAGAATGAACTCAATATCATTGAACCATCCTTCATTTTTTTATTAAAATTTTTACAAGTTACCATCTCTGTATCGCCATTATCGGGTTGAAAATTATGATAATTAACTGTTTCCTGTTCATTGACACAATAACAGAAGTCTACTGTTAATTCAATCCAATTTGTTTGACTAAAAATTTCATTCAATATCTGAATCTTCTCTTTATCTGTGTTACAAAAATGTCTACAAGAGTTCACGTTATATGAAAATATTAAAATTACAAGCATCATTAAAACATCCATAATTACCATATAAATTTATTATACTAAATGTTTTATACTGTAATAAAATTTTAACGTAAATATATATATATATATAAATTTATTTTTGTTACATTATTAAACAGGTCACATATGTATTTTATTTGTAAAAAAATTAGTTTACTTTAAAAATATCATGATAATACTTTATAAAACACATATTTTTACGTCTTGATTTTTGCAAAAAAGCGTATCTGATTTAGAGAAAAAAATATTTGATATAGGTAAAATAATTGTACATTATTTTTCCACATTTTAATAATAAAATATACCTTTTTCTGGATTGTCAGCACTTCCGTTTTGGATAGGTGTAAATGGCGTTACAGTTTCGGTGAAAAGTCGTTATATAATTTTCGGGTAGAGTATCTTTGGAGTACTGTGATTTATCTCTATTGTGTGTAGGAAAATTTTGTTAGAATAATAATTACTATAAGTCTTTATTATCATGTAAGGAGTACTTAGTTGTACTTTGAGGAGGTGTACGTAATAAAAGGAAAGAGTCTATTGAAACTTCACGTTTCGGTTCTTAAACGAGTAGCTCAAGGAGGATACTCTAAAAATGTAATTTTTTTACAGAATGGTAGATCAATAGACCTCAACTTCAAGGCAACGCTCGAGCACATTGAGAATACAAAATTACCCCAATCGTCCTTCGTGTATCGCCACAGGTCACCGCGATAATGTGGAGCGATAATGTGTAAGATGGCGGCCAGGGGATCGCACAGGACGTATGAGCACGCAGACACACCCGAGACTACAAACAGCAAGCCCAGTGCGATACCTCGCCAGCAGTAAGTGTCAGAACAAGGGGAAGACAGAACGGGGTTTCGGACGTCAAGAGACCATCGTCGTGGTCGCGTTAGGCTATTGGACAGGCCTGACACTTTGCTCATACATGCAGCGGACACGGTAAAGATGTTGGAGATGGAGCCGGACATTGACGCTGTGGCGGTCGAATATTCTAGAATGTTCGACCGCCGCCGCCTCTAGAAGATTCGTCGCTCTACATAAGCGTGTGGCGGTCGAATGTTCTATAGAGTTCCGCCGCCGCCTCTAGAAGATTCCTCTGACTATTTAAGGGCAAGATCGTCGCTCCAGTCAGTCAGTCGATCAGTCAATCACTTACGCATTCTGTCTTAAACGCGCTTCGTCTCTCGCTGTTATTTGTTAGTTCGTTGTAATATAGTATAGTTGTTATTAAATCTTAAAAGTGTTTATTACTTCTATATATTACACCTCGCTACAACGCCATCCCAAACGCACGTCAAATAATTATGCCGGATTTCACCGAACTGAAGAACCTACAAATAGTTCAGCTACCACTGTGGATCGGACTGAGAGGGAGATCGTGTCACGGTCGCATTGCACTCTCGTTTTACCACTGGATAGTTATTGCGGTGCTTCCCCTTCACGTCCGACCGGTTGTTTTAATACTAGTTAAAACGCGTGTTTTACTAGTTGTCTAAATAATTAATTGATTAATCAATACCCTAACAACAACAATATTCTTTTTTTAACTTGCACTAAATTATATTAATTTACATTAAATATATATTTAAGATTGAAATATTTTTGACACATTTTCAAAAGTTTAAAAAGTTTAATACATATATATTGTGAGTTTAAACACATTCTATATAATGGAAAATAATCCGATTCAATACTATGTTAAATGAAAAGAACATATGTAAGTGCTCTCATTAAGTGTTTGCTATGATATTTTTACTTTCAATAAAATTATACATATTAATTTGAAATAATAAGTTGACACGACTTACATCGCAAAAATGTGGTCGACACTGGTTTTGAGGGTAGAGACCCGTGGGCCGTTTATTAAATGAGCGACAACAGATTATGTTAACAAAAATAAAACAAACCGAAAAGATAAACACAGTAATAATAATCTTCGCATAATATCGCGGCACTTTCGCTGGCGTCGACGACGCGATGTTCGGCGTAATCCTTGGACGGCAAAATGGTTAGCAGCGTTGTAGGCGACGGTGCGCGGGTGCGGTTCGGCTGTCGACGTTGTCGCTTTCACAACGGGAGGAAGACTCTCGCACCATTTGCGGCGGGTCGTCGTCGGCCGTGCGGCATTTGCTGGACTTTGCACCATAGCGTATAACACGCGGTGTTGGTCAGTCAAATACTCATAGTAGGGCGACGGCTGATAAAGGTGGCACGAGTCGCGAGGCATCGTGTATAACGAAGCGACGCGGGCCGTGTCAAAGTTATATGAAAAACAAATTTTCACAAAATCTAAAATTATAATTTTGTGAATATTATTAATTTACGGGGAACGAGATAATTGTTTCAAACATTGTATATATATATCTTAAACAAATACTACTTGTGATATATTGACATATTGTAGAGCCTAATCGATCCAAGTGGCAATAAAAACACAAACAATTTTTTTTAAATAAATGCATAATGTATGATGTATGAGTTTTCGTATAAACCATAATATTTATACAGGCCATTTTTTTTAAATATTGGCGTCGATCTTTCAACAAAATATACTTTTTTTTAAAAGCACACGGTATGTAAAACTGTTATAATTTACAGTACTAAAATCCTCGGTATGAGTGTATAGAAAACCGATCATACTTACTCATTAAAAATCAAAATAAGGGTGTATAATTAAAATAATAATTTTAATAAAATAGAGAATTTTCCAATATTTACAAATAAAATTCAGTCACAGCTTTTATGAAAGAAAAAATAGTATTTAATACTAAACTGAAATATTTGTCTTAACTGTCCAAAATGTAATGTGATATATATACATAGTCAGTCACCATAAAGACTAATAGAATTACCAATATTAGATTACTTGAAATACTGTTATATGATAAGGTTTTGTAAATAAATATAAATTTTACATCAAAGTTATGATAAAATTAATTTGAAAATCACAATTTAAAAATAAATACATAGCTATTACAAAAATAATTTAACACTAAAATAGAAATTGTTACATTATGACTTATTTAATTACATTATTAAATTTTTTTAACATTATTTAATTATGAAATTTGAATGTTTTCAAATGTAAGTCACCTACTTTAAAATAATCTAGTATTCTGAGTTAATAAAGTCTAGGTGTAATTTAAACAGTTTGACATAAATTATTAAAAGTGCATACTTTACTGGAGTAAAATTTTAGTTTGTTTCATAAATCTCTTCATTGAAGCCAAAATTTTTACAAAATGTTTCTATACCGTTTGGAATGTCACATTTTGAAATATTGGGGCAAAGAGTAAAGGTAAATATACTTTTTTTAAATATATTCTTTTTAAATTTATTTTATTAATGGGACTAATAACTTCATTAAAGTTTTTAAATTTTTTGTCATAAATATTTAATTGAGAGCGTTCGTTTCTTAAATCTTCATTTTTTAAATCTTCATTTATTTTTATATTTGAATGCCTCTTTATTAATTTTTGTAGAACAATAAGAACAGGAGATTCGTCATGTAAAATACAAGACTAGCATGTAAAAATGCTAGTGCATCTCTCATACAAGTTAATAATGGTACGCTAATTTCGAAATCTCTATGAAATTTCCTGTTAGTTGCTACCGAAAATATTTCCTGATTTTCTATTTGAAGATTTATCTTACTTATTAGATCAATCCTTGCTAACAAATCGAAATCTCTAACAAATGCGTAGTAAATTGAACTCAATATTATTGAACCAATCTTCATTTTTTCAGTTAAATTTTCCAATAGTTACTGTATTTTCATTGGGTCGAATGTGACCATTAATGTTAATTTTACCAAGTTTCTCATAGACATTGTTAGTTTCTTTATAATTATAAAATTCCAAATCTTTGGTCAACTCAATCCAATTTTTATGAATAACACAAAGAAGTGTAAAATGAAGTAATTAAAATTATGATTATTTGCAAAATATTCATTATTGGCTTTTATATAAATTTACTATACTAAAGTTTAAGTACTTTAATAGAATTTAAATTTATATAAATAGTTATTTTATAGTACTTTATGAATGGGTAACACGCGCATTTTATTTTTAAAGACAAAATCTAATTTTAAATGATTACAATAATATTTTATTAAGTGCATATATGTATGTCTTGATTTTAACAACAAGCTCTTAGCTAACAAAAATACCTCTTGGCCTTCTTGTTGTTTATTATTTATTCTTTATTTAAAGTTGATATTTTAAATCATAGAGTTTTATACGTTATATGAAACAGAGAAAAGCAAATAGAATGATTTTTTTAATTTAAAATTTCATTTATTCAATAATTAAAAATATATTGGAATAAGAGGACGTAGTATTAAAATACAGTATAGTTGCTATTATGAATTCTGTAACCAGATAGCATTTTTTTTAAATTATGTTTTAGTTATGTTGTTATAACGTAATTTTAACTTATAATATTATATTAATGTTATAATATTTTCTGTAATATTATTTTTCAAAATTGTTATCTAGTTCTATATTAATTTATAATTATATTTTTGAAACGAAAATACTTATTGAATTAATAACATTTCTTGTAATTTAAATAATACATTTTAAATCATAAATTAATTGAGTCTTAACACTTTTATCAAACTAACAAAGAAAAGCAAATAGAAAATTACTTAATGAATTACATAAGTGTAGCATGCGATTAACTGGTTAGTTTTTACAATAGTTCTGCGTGAGGGTAAATATATAAAACATGGAATTTTTACGAAAAAATACTTGAGGGATATTGATTGGTATCTTTTCAAAAATTTCGGAACAATCTATTTAGTTATTGAATAAATTATACATCCACTTTACATCTAAATATTGTCTTCTACATAATAGAGAGTATATTTTCAAATTATTAAAAAAAAAAAAATTATTTTGGTTTATCCTATTTTTATTAAATTTGCCCAATTAAGAGGTTAAGAAACGTTTTTGAATAGATTCAATCTTTTTAATATCATTGGCTGTAAATGGAGACCAAATAATAGAACCGTACTCCAGGCCAGATCTTACAAGAGAAAAGTATAAAGTTTTTAAACAATCTATATCATGAAATTCATTGCAATTACGTCTTATGAATCCTAATGTACGCGACGCTTTGTTATAAATATAGCTAATATGTTTTGAAAAAGATAAATCACAAAACAGGAAAACGCCTAAATCTTTTATATGATTAACTATAGAAAGGTTAAAACCATTAATTGCATATTGATGATTGTAAAATGATTTAACTCTACTGAACGTGATTTGTGAGGATTTGTCTTTATTTATTTGTAAACCATTTTCAAAACACCATAATATAAATTTATCTACATCTGATTGTAATTTAAAAAGTCACTAGGTGAGTTAATTTGTAAGTATAACTTCAAATCATCCGCAAATAAAAACATTTATAGTGATTGAAAACATTACTAAGATCATTTATAAAAATCATAAACAAAAGAGGTGACAAATGCCCATTTTGGAGTACACTAGATGCAGCATCAATAGTAAAAGACATTGCATCACCAATTTGCACTATTTATTTTCTGCCACTGAGATAAGTCGAAAGCCAATCTATCATAGGGTTACCGACTCCCACAGCACTTAATTTACTTATTAATATAGAATGATTAACACTATCAAACGCTTTTTCAAGGTCAGTGTAGATAGCGTCTATCTGATCACCTTTAAAAAAAATAGACATTAAATCAGAATAGTAGACAAGTAAATTAGTAACTGTAGATTTAGAAGTTCTAAATCGATGTTGATTGTTTACCAGTATTGAGCTAAAAGTATAATACAATTTTGGTACTATCAACTTTTCAAATAATTTCGGTATAATACTCATTTTAGTTATAGGTCTGTAATTACGTAAATTAGATCTTATTCCAGACTTAAAAATAGGGTAAACATAACTGGTTTTCCAAGTCGTAGGAAAATACCAGATGATAGAGATAAAGATAAAAAAAAAAGGATTGGATGAGTAAGGGAGTAACGGCAGTTTTTGAGAAAAATCTAAGGAACCTAAAGTCCGGACCTACAGTCATATTCATATTTAAATTCGATAGACCTGTTTGGCTGCTGATCAGATGTAGCGTCACTTGCGTACCACCGGTTTACGCAATCGAAATTGTTGTGTACGGCGAGTCTGTGTCTGGTTTGCGTGAATGATCCTATGACGGACAGTGGAGTGCCTCAACTTGAGGGCCCACAGCTAAGATCCTCGTATTCGGTAACGAGGAAAAATTTTTGGGTGCCCATCCGCTGGTGCATGTCGTGGAGAACGTTTCTTTTCCTTTTGTGAAGATGGAATTAATGAACTAACCAGGTTGCATATAAACCACTTAAATATCTAATTGTGTAGTAATATCGGTATAGTCCCACATAGCATTTTGCAATATTAAATATTGTATAATCATTTACATTAGATTTCCTAAATAATATTAAAAATATAATATTTATTTGTTATTCTTTAAATGTTATAAAATTAATATTGATCATGTAATATTTGTGTAATGTTACATTTACATTTCAAATGTAATAATACATTTGAATTAACTATTGAACGTTTAAATAATGTTTACTCTTTATTATACGTTTAATATTAACTCTACGATTCATTTTCAACATCTTAGTAATAATTTATTTTCATTCAGCATTAAATAAAAATTAAGTATACTTATAATTTTTATATAGATATAATAAGTTAATTACTACTACAACCCATTTGTACTAACAATTGGTACATTGATAATATTTATAATATCTTATTATAATATCTCTAGTAGATAAAGTTTTTAAATCTTTGTTTAATTGGCAAGGTAAACTTTAATTATGAGTTACGGAAGTAAAAGTTCTAAGAGGAGACGTATTCTTGAAGAATTGGAAATTTTCTCGTCGGCCGCAGATAGTGAAGTTTCTATTAATGAAATAAGTAATGAAATACAAGAGACACTGGATTTTCCCAACACTGAAGATGAAACACAAAATATATCTGGTATGACTACTAAATATTCATATTACCTGCATATTCTTTTTTTTACTTCTACAACTGATAATTATTATCTATATATATAGATAATAATAGTTATAACTACAAGTAAAAATTTAATTCGCCAGGAGATAATAGAAAGTAGTAAAAAATTTTAGAAGATATTCATATTATATGAATATAATTAATATAAATAACATTTTTTTTCATTATTATACGCTGTAATTAAACAGTGTAATAGATGAAATATTTATATTTTTAGGAACGTTGTCACACCAATATTTCTTCTCTGCACTTGAATCAGACTCGAATATTAATGATGCTTATTCAAGCTTCGATAAAAATGAAAATACTTTTTCATTTAACTTTAATGATATTACAACTCCTGCAAATATTCAACTTGTTAATTGGGTTGTAAAACATGGTATTTCAAACACAGCTACATCCGATCTATTAAAAATATTGAAGTCTGTAGAAAACAGAGGTGTCAAATACAATAATAAAATTAAAAGAGGTTACTCCTGGAAAGTATTTTCACTTAGGTGTTTCTAACGGTATAAAAAAGAACTATGTTATAACAAATGAACATGAAATTTTAAAATTAGTTATTGGAATAGACGGCCTACCGTTAGCTAAAAGTTCCAAAAGTACATTTTGGCCGATATTATGTTATATTAGACCAAATTCAAAAGTTGTTTTTCCTATTGGTATTTATTGGGGTAATGATAAACCCGCAGATAGTAATGAATTCCTTCTTGATTTTTTTATTGAAATTCAAGAATTGATATTAAATTGACTTGAAATCAAAAATGAAAGAGATATAATTTGTAAAGCTCAAATTGTATTGGACGTATTCTGCTGTGATGTTCTGGCAAAGTCGTTTATACTGAAAACTAAAGGTCATACTGGTTTTTTTTCTTGTTCACGCTGTAAAGTAGAAGGAGAATATTACAATAGAAGAGTGTTTTTCTGATTTAGACTGCACAAAAAGATCACACGAACACTTCAGCATTAAGAAACAAAAGGAACATCATATTGGATCATCCATGTCTATTCTTCTTAATATTCCAAACATAAATATAATTACTTGCTTTAGTCTTGATTATATGCATTTAGTATGTCTGGGGATTGTAAGAAAATTAATTAATTTGTGGCTCAAAGGCCCATTGAAAGTTAGAATTCACTGTACTAAAAGTAAAATGCTTAGTTCGTTACTACTTTCATTGAAAACGTCAATTCCTAATGACTTCCAATGGAAACCAAAAGGTGTTGATGAGGTTAGTCGCTGGAAAGCAACTGAACTTAGAACGTCTTTGCTGTACATGGAACTTGTTGAATTAAAAAATTATTAATATATATAAAAATATAAGTGAAGAATGCTATTTTAATTTTTTATGCCTACATATAAGCATTTCCTTATTAGTAGCACCGAATATATGTGATCGTCTTTTGAATTTTTGCAACAGTTTACTTAAACACTTTATACGGAAATTTGGAGAACTGTATGGAAAGGAATGGATTTCATATAATTTACATACTTTACAACACATATGCGACGACTATTCAAATTTTGGTCAATTAAATAACTGCAGTGTGTTTCCTTTTGAAAATTACATGAAGACATTAAAAATATTTATAAGAAAGAGTCATCAGCCATTACAACAAGCTGTTAAAAGATATTCAGAGCACTCTGCATATAACTGCCAATCAATAATAAATAATTCAAATGAATTATTTTCATACAACAATGAACATACCAAAGGCTTTGTACCACATATTCTACAAATTACGCTTTAATATAAAATTATTAGTTATAAAGTCACAGATATTAAGATAAATGATGTCGATTGTTACATACAAACAACTACAGGAGAAATCGTTAAAGTTATTAATATATGTCATACTATTAGTACGAAAATGATTGTGAGGTACCGTTTTAATAAAAAATCAAATTTTTATCAAACACCTATAAGTAGCTCAAAATTAAATACTTTTTAGTTGGAAATTTAAATACTTCTAAAGAATATTGGTCAGTATATAACATTAAGTGTAAATGTAGTTTTAAAATACAATGAAAACGAAATGGTTGCTATTGCACTTATTCATACCTATCGTCACATGGAACAAAGTGTCTAATTATTAATTAGTAATTAAAATGTTGTATAAGGCTTAAAAGTATTATTGAGTAATGTTTTGTATATTGTTTATTGTGTATAAATATTTTAAATCCTATTAATAATTATTTGTAATATCTAATGTGACCTACTAAAAATATTTATAAGGTAAAAATGTTTTTTTTATAATTATTGTTGTTTTTTTAAAGTGTAAAAATATTTTTAACTCTAATAATGAATTTAGATAGATAATAATTGTAATTTGTTCAATAATGAATTGTTTCAAAAAAGGTTTATTAAACACACGAAATTTTCATGTGTTTAAATGTCTAATTACTAATGATTAAAACTTGGCATAATATTTCAATTAATNACTAATGATTAAAACTTAACATAATGTTTCAATTAATTAACCATAAGTACTAATTTTTAATAGTTGTAAAAAATCATCATAGCCTAGCTTAATATCAAATAATAAATAAATAAATTGACGTCAACAATGGACGTATAAATGGAAAAACATTTCTTTCACTTTGATTTGAATTTGCGTTCACAAAGAACGCAATGTACCTATACATATACATTGCGTTCCTTTTAGATTGTATATATATAATTAAATTATTAGTATAAAAGGGAAAAAAGTTTTAGCCAGTTACCAATTTGTAAGGTTGTATTTGGTAAGCAATAATTTGTCTGACTTTTTAATAAAAATATTTTAACAGTTTTTTTTATTCTAGAATGATGATCAAAATTTTTATTAACGTTATTATGATATTATTTTAAATAAAAAAAAAATTTATTTTAACTAGTATATTAATTTGATTCTAGACTCTATTGTCAAAAATATGAAAATTGTCTACAAGAGGTTGAAGACAAAATAAAAATATTTCACTCAAGCGCCTTTTAGGTTGAAGAGATCACATAAAAAAAATTAGGTATGCATTCTGATATATGTAGGTGTAATTTATTACTCCTACCTATATCATTAATTGTAAGTTCAATTAATAATATAAATGATAGTAATAATAAGAGTAATCAATTAATTACAATTTTTATATGTTTATCTACTTATTGAATACTATTTTATTAGTAAAATATATTAAAGTAAAACATTTTTATTTAAATAGTTCCTCAGGAGTGATCTCTTTCCCGATAAAACTACAAGTGATATATGATACAGGATTTATGTTATCATAGATACATTCTTTTATTTTCTAAGAATTATACATGATTCTTCGAATTTTCATTAATTAAGTAATTTAAAATTGTACTCTTAGTGTAACGAAAGTGTTTTTTTTTTGTTTCAGATCAGATAAGTTCTTACAAACAGTATATTACAATTTTATTTGTAATTTTTAAAATATATTCTTATTAATATAATACCATATTTTTTTATTAATAATTCATGACATTTTTATTACTTTTTAACATTTGATATAAAAATCTTGTTAAAACTTTTTGCAATCTGTTAATAAATAATTGGCAGTTCTTTGTCTTAGATCAATAATATTTGGTATATAAACTTATTCTGTTTCTTAAGATGTGTTTTTTTTAGTAATTACTATAATTATAATTTTTACTGCATAATACGTTCTTACAGTTATATTATTATAGTAACGTCCCACAAACGAAAATAAATTTAACCCTTTTTCTCATTTTACGAAACCAGCGATTTGATGAAATAAGGTTAGAAAAAGAGAAATTCACACAATACACTACATATTGTGATAGTAAAAAGAAAGAAGAGTTAGACACCTAGTATATTTAATATAATTTATCATTTGATTACCGGTTAAAAACTACTTATATTAATTGTGCCATAAAAATTTTAATAATATACCTGTTGTAAAAACTGCACATATTCTCGTATGCTCGTGCATGGCAACAGCCATCATTTTGGAGTATTATATGGATATTTGTCCAATGATATTAAATTCTTTTTAATGTTAAATTTAATACGTTAATTTAATGTTTATTCTTATTATTGTTTTCTTATATAAGTAAACTAAAAAAAGAAAGAAATTGTTTGGTTTAAATCGTTTATGTTTTCCATATATTACATGTATGTTTTTTCCATCTTTTTGGTGTGTATATTAGTGTTTTTACGTTTACGTTATTGGTTTTTTTAAATTTCGTAACTTTTAGCTCGGGAAAAAGACGTATTCGGTTTGTTAGCGAAAAATAGACGAGAATAATAGAGAACGCGAGATATAAAAGTTTAAACTCTGATAAGAAGTCAGTGTACGATCATCGCGTAGTATAATTCTTATTATTACTATATCGGAATACTTTACACAATGTTTGTCATTTTTATGGGTAATCATTAGTATTGTTGTTTTTATTATTATTTGTACCGCTGATTGTTTGGTTATTGTCGGTTTTTATGTTCATATGAATATTTATTAATTTAATTACTTAATTTGTTTAAAGTTTATTATTGAAATTTTATTTCTCTCAACTGTTTATTATGGCTGACGACGCCGCCTTTAGACTCGCTAAAGATCGCACGTTACTTAGGCGATCAACCTCAGTGTCGCACATTAAAGCTAAGTACGATTTATCACGTCGGGTTATTACTGAGACGGCACTTAAAAAAAATTTTATTGAGGCAGAGGGCGATATGGAAGCGCTTTGGTTTGATTTCGTCACCGAAAACAATGCTTTAATGGATGCGTTGCTTAATTGAGGCATCGGGTCAGAGTATTCATCAACACTTCAGCTTGAAGTACGCGAGTGCGTAAATTCGATTAAGGCAACGAGACTTAAGTATCTGTAGCAAGTAGATCGCGTTCCACCGCCGGCAAACGTGTCGGTGTTGAGCGAAACCAATTCAGGCGCTTGTTCAGTTCAAGTTATGGAAAAAACGTCGCGAAAAAATGTCCGATTTGCCGCAACCCAGTTTTGATGGCGATCATACTAAGTGGCCTACGTTCCGTGATCGTTTCAAGTTGCTCATTGACCAACAGAACTTTCACGATATTGATAAATTTCATTTTCTAATTGGTTGTCTCGAAGGCAGTAGCCCCACGGACGTAATCAACAGTATTCCAGTATCGGAACAAAATTATGCATTATGATTCTATCTAACCGTTATGATAAGCCACGGCGAGTGGCGACTGTTTTAGTTGAAAAAATGCTATCGGCACAAATATTGCGCGCAAAAATTATGTTAAATACGTTTCTAAAAACTTTTGACGAGAGTATTTCTTTGCTTGAAACATTAAATATTCCTGATATATTCTTTTGTTTGCGCTATGCTCTCGTTGCTTACCGACTTCAAGAAGGAAATGTTTCGAGGCTGAAACGTTAGCCGAATATTCCTCAGCCAATGATGTATTTAAATTTGTAAAAAGATGAGTAGCCGTTTTAGAAAATGTTCAAGATTGTCGTCCTGTTCATGGTAATGTTTATAAAACTAAACGTAATGAGCAAAACAGTCGGCTTTCGGTAATGTCGCTCGTTACCATAAAACCAGTCAATAACATTAAAGTATCGAAACAATTCACAGCATGCAAAGGTGATCATACGCTAGTTAATTGTCAAGTTTTTATCAGTTGGACCGTTTGCAGTTTGCTCGCGATAAACACCCGTGTTCTCGATTACATATAAACAATTTAAATATCTAATTGTGTAGTAATATCGTTAATTAAGATACAAGTCGTGACCATAATAAGGGAAAATACTGGGTGTTCCGACCAAGAAGTGTTTCGAGTTGATGGCATAACACCCCCCGTTACCCTTTAAATTTAAGATACTCTGAAGAATTTCTAATATATGTGGTTGTTTGTTATTTAATTATTGTCTATTC